TGGAGTAAAATGAATGTTGTAAGGCATCTAAGTTGATTAAGAGCATCTAAAGGTTGTTCCGTGCAGAAGCATTCCATAGTGAAAACAAAACTTATCTGACCTAGGCAAGAAGATCATCTATTCATAAAACAATGTAGGGGACAAACAGTTAACAAAAAAATTAAGCATAGCCAAGAGGAAAGTGGACCTGGGACAGAGATGTGCCGAGGCTGGTGGGCATTTTGAGTTCCTGTGACCTTTAAAGTTAAATTATTCATGCATTTGACCACATTCCAAAATATAACGGCTTATCTAAGTTTATTTCCATGAAGCTATGTTTTACTTTAAACTATTAATCGAGTAACATGTAACATTAGAGTGATAAAGTTGATGCAGCATTTCCATAGTGAGAATGTCCAATTTCTCTGTGCTTCTCTAAACACTGACGCCAGAGTTCAAGTGCTGGCAGGTTTCAGTTCTGCTGATTTAGAATAACAGAATCAAAGAATCACAAAATCATAGAATTGCTCAGGTTGGAAAAGACCTTAAAGATCATCAAGTCCAACTGCAATCTGATCAAACTACCCTAACTCTAACAACCCTCCACCAAATCATGTCCCTGAGCACCACAGCCAAATGGTTTTTAAACACATTCAGGCATGGCCACTCAACCACCTCTCTGGGGAGCCCATTCCAGTGCTTAAAAACCCTTTTTCCTGATATCCAATCTAAACTTCCCCTGGAGCAACTTGAGACCACCTCCCCTCATCCTGTCATCTGTCAGGTAACAGTGAGAAGAGACCAACCCTCCTCTTGCTGTAAGCACCTTTCAGATACTGGAAGAGAGCAATAAGGTGTCCCCTCAGCCTCCTCTTCCCCAAACTAAACAGTCCCGGTTCCTCCAGACTCTTCTTGTAGAGCATATTCTCAAAGCCCTTCACAAGCCCTGTCACCCTTCTCTGATCCTACTCCAGCACCTTGATGTCCTTTCTGTATTGAGGTGCCCAAAACTGAACACAGTACTCAAGCTGGGTCTCACCAGTGCTGAGTACAGGGGCAGGAATACTTTCCTAGTCCTGCTCACCACACCATTCCTGATACAAGTCAAGATGCCATTGGCCTTCTTGGTCACCTGGGCACACTGCTGGCTCTTATTCAGCCGACTGTCCACCAGTACAGCAAGGTCTCTCTCCATCAGGCAGCTTTCCAGCCACTCCTCCCCAAGCCTTTAGGGTTGCCTGGGGCTGTTGTGACCAACACTTGGCTCTACTGAAACTCGTTGAAACAGTTTACCTTGGCCCTTTGACCCAGTCTATCCAGGTCCCTCTGTGGTGCCTTTCTCTCCTCTGGCAAATCAACACTCCCTCCCAGCTGGGTGTCACCTGCAAATTTACTGAGGATGCACTCAATCCTCTTATCAAGATAATTAATAAAAATATTAAATAGAAGTGGCCCTGGGGGACACTGCTTGTGACTGGCCGCCAACTGGATTTAACTCCATTGACCACAAGTCTTTGGACCTTTTTGAAGATGGGCATCGCATTTGCCAGTCTCCAGTCCACCAGGACATTCCTGGTTAGCCAGGACGGTTGAAGAATGCTGGAGAGTGGCTTGGCAACCACATCCACCAACACCCTCAGCACTCCAGAGTGCAATCCATCTGTTCCCACGGACTTGTAACTGTCCAGCTTTCAGAGAAGATCCAAAACTACCTTATCATGAATTATGCAGGACCTATTCCATTCCCCATCCCTATCTACCATCACAAGGGGCTGTGTGCCCAGAGAGTAACTAGTCTTACTATTACAGACTGAAGCAAAAAAAGCAATAAGTACATCAGCCATATCCTGATCCTTGGTCACCATCTTGCTCTCAGCATCCAACAACGGACAGAGGTTCTCCCTAGCCCTCCTCTTACTGCTGATGTATTTCTAGAAATATTTATCATTGTCCTTTACTTTAGTGGCCAAGTTCAGTTCTAGCTGGGCTTTGGCTTTTCTATTTTCTCCCTGCACAGCTTCACTACATACCTGCAATCATCATAAGTTGCTTGCCCACTTTTCCAAAGACCAAGAAGTTTCCTCTTGTTCTTGAGTTCCAGCCACAGGTCTCTGTTCAGCCAGTGTGGCCTCTTTGCCCATTGGCTCATCTTTCATGACTTGGGGATGGTCAGCTCCTGCACCTTTAAAATAACTTCCTTAAAGTATTCCCAGGTTTCCTGGGCTCCCATGCCCTCCAAAACTACCTCCCAAGGGATATTCTCAACCATGGTCATAAAGAGGTTAAAGTCTGCCTTCTGGAAGTTCAAAGTGACAGTTCTGCTGACTTCCCTCTGTGGTTCAACAAGGATCGAGAAATCTGGAATCTCGTGGTCACCTGCAAACAGCAAGTCCAGGATTTTGCTTTCCCTTGTTGGCTCCTTCACCATCAGTGTCAGGAAGTTATCTCCCACAAGCCCTAGAAACCTCTGGGACTGTTCCCTATCTGCTGTGTCATAAATGCAGCAGATGTCTAGGAACCTGAAGTTCCCAACAAGAACAGGGGATAGAGACCTTCTGACTTGAACCAACAGTCTATAAAATGTCTGGACCACTTCTTCATTCTGGTCAGGTGGCTGGTAGCAGATTCCCAAGAGAATGTCAGTCTTATTGGCCTTCGCTTTTATTTTGACCCATAAACTCTCAAACCAATCATCACCATCATAAATTTCCATACATTTGCATTTTCTTATATCATAGAGGGCCACATCACTGCCTTTCTTGCCTTGCCTATCTCTTCAAAAGTCAGAAGCCAGCCATTACAGCACTCCAGCTGTGCAAGTAACTCTACACAGATGGAAACTAAATCATACCTTTCCAACTGCACAGTGGCCTCCAGCTTGTCCAGTTTATTACCCATTCTGCGTGCATTCGTGTACAGGTATTTCAGGGACCAAGCTAAGCATGCCCATTTCACCCTAGTGGAGGGGGAGACTAACTGACAAGTTAGAATGGGAAAGTGCTTTTAGTTCTCACTATCCCAGTTCTTTTTTAATGGGTACTTAAATGAATCTTCTTCAAATTGAAACTGCTTTGTGCAGAGTTGTACCTGATGCGTGACCTCCCCCTCCTTAGCTGAGTTGTTTCATCATATCATATCATTCACCCCACCACTGTGAGGAGGGTAAACAAGAGAGCAGTTAGGGGGAGGGGGCATGGCAGTCAATGTCAGTGCTCCCACAACTTCAGGATTCTTGTAGGGTAGCATTCCAGGCACTGGTATAATTGCTTATCTCTGAGCAATGCAGTTCTAGGCTCCTCAGGACAACCTCCAGCACTATTGACAGAGAAAAGGAAGGCATTTAGTAACTCCATCTTCTCTGTATCTTCTATTACCTTGGCACCCACCTCATTCATCAGTGGGCCTACATTGCCCCTAGTGTTAGTTTTGTCTGCAGTGTATTTGAAGACACCCTTTATGTTGTCCTTGCCCGCACTTGCCAAGTTAAACTCTAAGGAGGCCTTAGTTTTCTTAGTTGCCTCCCTTCATCCTCTGACCACAGTCTTATATTCCTTCCAAGTGGCCAGCCCTCCTTCCATGATCTGTAGACTCTCCTCTTCCACTTGAGTTAGCCCAGAAGTTCCCTGTTTAACCACATAGGTCTCCTGGTTCCCTTTTTTGACCTCCTACCTGTTTGGAATGCTCTCATCATGAGCTTGGAAGAAGCAGTCCTTGAATGCTAACCAACTATCTCGGGTCGCTTTATCTTCAAGTACCCTGTCCCATGGGATTTCTCCTAGCAATTGCTAGAAAAGGACCAAGTCGGCCCTACTGAAGTCCAGGGTTGTGATTCTGCTTGCTTTTCTGATCCTGACACGTGTCATCCTGAACTTCATCATCCTGGTCACTGCAACCAAGGCTGCCCTCAACCTTCACCACTTCAACCGGACCCTCCTTGTTAGTGAGAACAAGATCCAGCAGTGCTCCTCTCATACTTGGCTCATCCACCATTTGCATCAGGAAGTCATCATCAATGCACTGGAGGAACCTCTTGGATGGCTTGTGGGGATGGCTGGCTGAGTAGACCTTCCAGCAAATATCAGGGTAGTTAAAATCCACCATGATAACCAGCACCTATAATTGTGAGCCTGCTATCAGCTGCCTGTAGAAGGCCTTGTCAGCTTCCTAGTTCTGATCCCGTGGCCTGTAATAGACACCCACAACAGTGCCACCCATGCCAGCCTGTCCTTAATTCCTACCCACAAACTCTCAACTCGCTCTTCATCCACCCTGGGCAGTATTCAGTGCATTCTAGTTGCTCTCTCACATAACGAGCAACTCTACCACCCTGCCTTGTTGGCCTGTCTTTCCTGATAAGGACATAGCCATCCATGACAACATTCCATTCATGTGATCTGTCCCACCAGGTCTCTGTAATTGCCAGCAGATCTTACTCTCCTGCACAAACATGGATTTCTAACTCCTCCTGCTTATTCCCCACACTGCATGCATTGTGTACAGGCATTTCAGGGAGTGAGCTGAGCATGCCCATTTCACCCTCAGGGGGTGGGAGGCCACATGGCCTTGAGCAATACTAGAGCGCTGGCCCACCAGAGCAAGTCCAGATACAACTCCATCCCCCTTCAAATCTCATTTAAAGCCCTCAGAATGAGACCTACTAATTCCTGTTCCAGAACCCTATTGCCACTGTGATATAAACCTTTCCCATGCATTACTGTCAGGTCTGGTGTCTTACAAAACCAGCCAATATCAAAGAACCCAATGCCCTGCCTGCAGCACCAGTCTCATAGCCAGGCATTTGTGTATCAGCAGAGGCTAAATGTCCTGCTGTACAGGCTGCAGCCAGCAAACGCTGTGTGCTCACTCTGCATGCTCTGTGGGTGGCCGATAGCAGCCACCCTCCCTGAGGCTACTTATGGCCTGGTAGCCTGCTCCAGAATGGGCAGTGCTGGCTGCACCCATGTTAGCTCAGTAGCCCACCCACAAGCTGCCAGCCCCCTGGCACAGGCAAAACACTTCTGCTGGCTTCAAAAAGCACCCAGAAGAGTGTTTTGTCAGCCCTTTTTGCTTCGGGTCCCTTCCCCAGTGCAGAGTCTGAAACTCTCCTTTGCAGAGAGAGCTTGCTCTTACTGCTAAAAGTCAAGAAATAGGGATAGCAATTCTCTGAAGACTAGTGTGACTTTTATTAAATTAACTTTTTAAAAATCTGAAAGACCTCAAACTGAAATGGTGTGATGCAAATGATGATCTTAGGTCTGAGGTTCATTTTTCTCTTGGTATGTCAACAATAAATCCATAACAACGGCAGCAGTGTTTAGGTGCTGGCAGGTTTCAGTTCTGCTGTCTCCTTGGTTGCAGGCTTGAAGCTGGCCGAGGTGTTGGTCCTGCAGTTGCTCCAGCTTCCGTCTAGACTCTGGGAAGTGCTGGGGAGGGTATACAATACTCAGAAGGCCTCTTGGCCTTGCTGCTCCACCAGCATTTCCCCTCCTCTGTTTGAATGATATTCTCACGCGCATTTGTCCCTTTCACCGGTGGCAGCGTGCAGGAAGAGGTTACAGGTGGTTGCTCTTCAGTTCCACTGCCTGACTTGTTAGTCTTGGGACGTTTTAGGGACAACAGGAGCTGCCGGTACAGACTTTCCATACCAAGCATGTCCAATTTCTCTGTGCTTCTCTTGTCACTGAAGCCAGAGTTGAAGGGCTGGCAGGTTTCAGTTTTGCTGTCTGCTTTTTTCTCCAGGCTCAGAGCCGGTCTTTGGGATGGTCTTGCAGCTCCTGCTTTCTTGCACCCTTTCGGAAGTGCTGGGGAGAGCATATGCCAAAAAAGCCTCTTGGTCTTGTAGTCCCACCAGCGTTTTCTCTCCTCCATTTGAACGAGGCCCTCCTGGAAGACCATCCCTTTCACTGGTGGCTTTGTGCAGTTGGAGATCTCAGGTGGCAGGTCTTCAACTCCACCGCCTAGCCTAGGACGCTGACTGAGCGTCCTGGGGATCCCGCGTGCCACCAGAACCTGCGGGCGCTGGTCCTGCCTGGGAAGCCTGCTGGGTTTCCCCACAGAGCTCGTGGTACCAGAGGCAGAGTCCATGTGAAGAGAGGGGCACAGACTGCGCAGCAACAAAGGCCGGGTCTTTCCTGGCTGGATGAGATGGGGCAGGGTGGGACTGCCCTGCCACCGTGATGCTTGCTGCTGGGAGCAACGTGGCCTGCACAAGGGGCTTCTCTGCCTGCCTGCCTGCCTCTCAGCACCTGTAAAACAGGGAGCGGGCCTGAGCCACAGTAGGGCAGGGGGCACTGGGGATCTTCCAGGCCCACCCGGCCTGGCTGCTACATGACAGAGGCTGGTATGAAGTTTAACTTCTCCCAGAGGGCTGGTTCTGCCTCACGTGACTCACTCACCTGACTTCAATGCCACCACTTGCAGCCACCATGTCCACCATTGCTGGCGCCGGTCAGAACCCTACGGGCACATGAACGTGGCACAGTGAAAGGACTTGCGGGGCAGCCCTCACCCCCCCACCCCAAAGCCCTGAGTCACCTAGCCTCAAGTGGCTTCCATCCTCAAATTTCCCTACCTGTCGGCGCCAGGAAATGGTGAGCAGAGACACCCCGGCCACCAGGAGCAGGAGGCTGGGGATAAGGAGAAAGCTGTCGGCAACCATCGCTCTAAGCTGGTCACGACCGCACTGGGAGAAACAAAGTGCTGGCCGCTGGCTTACATGGGCAGAGCCATGAGATCATAGTCCAGCAGGTGGGGATAACTCTGTGACGTCACAGTCCATATGGAAGTAGGCTGGCAGTAGCCCCCAGCATGGGGATCGGAGGAGTTATGGACATAACTTCAGTATAATAAAATAAAGTCTTCTTCAAACTGAAACTGCTTTGTGCAGCGTTGTACCTGGTGTGTACTTATGGCCTGGTAGCCTGGTCCACTGTGGGCAATGTCAGCTCCAGCCACGATAGCTCAGCAGCCCACCCACAAGCTGCCAGCCCCCTGGCACAGGCAAAACACTTCTGCTGGCTTCAAAAAGCAACCAGAAGAGTGTTTTGTTTAAGCCTTTTTGCTTCAGATCCCTTTCCCACTGCAGTCTTACTTGCTCTGAATCTATTCTCTACAGAAGGATAGCTCTTTCCTCCTCTCTTCACAGATTGCTGAAGTTTTGATGTTTTTCAAAGCCACACATTAAACCATTTGTTCAGTAAATTGTAAAAAATTTGTTTAAATACTTAATAAAATTATTTAGATTGGGGGAAGATTAGAGTGAGAATGGAATCATTGATAAGGATTTTAATAAACATCCTACTTTGTATTTGGATTCATTTGAATTTTGTGCTGTTTAATACAGAAACAGGAAGGATTATTTTGACTGCTTTGTGCAGCTGAAGTAAAACTTTATACAGTATTTTTTGAGTAGTTGTATATATATGTAAAATATATATAATGCAACATCTAATGTTGGAATCAACACAAATAAGAGATATCTGGTTTCTGCAGGTCCAGGGTAAACCTTTTTACCGTAGTGAATTTGTCAATGTTTGAATAGTCCTAAGTGTCAGACTAGACTGTCACCTTTTCGTTTTTAAAAACTCTTTATTAGGACCATGATTCCTCATGTATATGTCAAATGTTCTTATTATGATTATTTTTCTTTGGTTCTAGTGCATTAGCACTGGGTGGCAAAAACTTTCTGAAATTCTACCTCCTAGGAGCTGGCCTCTGGTCTTTTTACTGTACAATTCTAAGTTTCTAGAAGAGATATTTCATGAAAGACAGATGAAATGTCATGGGGAAAACACAGTTCCCACCTATCACATTCCTCCCACTGTTGAGCTGGAGCTTCACACTGCAGGTGTTGCATTTATCACAAGGCTACTTAATACAAGGGTGTTGAAGTTGATCATCAAGACAGGTTTCCTACAAAGTAAGAGAGCGGTGTATGTAACCATCACACCAGAAAATAATATGTGACCGTGGAGTTTATAAAGAGATAAATTTAGCATAAATCTGACCCAAGGCACCATAGGAAAATGTAACTAGATATTCAGATCCAAACTGTGCAAATAACATCTCTCTGGTGTTACAGGTGTGGAAATTGCATGCCACTTTTTCACTATGGGAAATAATTGGATTATTATAGCATAGCACTGTGTATATCAACTGTTATTTGTTTTATGCTTTTATTGGACTTAGGTCAGTGTTATGGAAGGTCTGCAGTTCAGGAGAAGGAATTAAATGAGAAATGTTTTCTATCACAGGTTTTGAATCATTATTCTTTAGCAATTAATGCAAATTAGTCATACTTTACAGAAATTTTCCCAAATAGTTGAATTGATTTTGACAGCATCATCCTTTGGATTTATTTTGATTATTTATTTACTCTAGAGAGAGATAAGCACATACATAACTGTGGAACAAAATATGAAACATACAATTATATTTAATTATATAATTACTGTAATCATCAATCTGGACTATTTTACAAGAGAGATTAAAATTAATTGTCAACAAAAATTTATTATATTACTTGGAAAAAGATATAAATATCTAGTTATAGCCTGCAAAGAAGGCAATGAGAACATATAAAATGTTTCAGGCTCCCCACTGTAGTTGCACACTAGTTTTATGAATGAATTGAAAGCTTATTTATTTAACTTGTCAGAATGTATATTGTATTTATCACACACAAAAAAAAAAAAAAAGAAAAAAAAGAAAAAAAGCCAGAACTTTTGTCTAACTAGTCAGAGCAGAATAATGTCATATGAGGAAGAAACCATGATAAGAAATAAGGTCACACCCTTTCTATATTAATGTTCTACCAATTTGCCATGTGCTTTTTGCCTAATGAATATTTGGAAAATACAGATACGATAAATAGACTCCCACACTGTAGATATCATTTATTTGGAACCTTCTTCACGAAGAAAAAAGAAATAAATGCAGCTTCTTATGCCCATTAGGTAGAGAAGAGAATGCATCTCAACCAATCTTCCATTTCCCTAGAATATGTTTTAATCACTGAACTTTTCATTATATATATTTCCTTTGGTTGGAAAAGATGAACAGAGGAATGCCTTGGAGGCATATATGTGAGATAGAACAAATAGCTGCTTATACCTTTAAAGAGGAATTCCCTGAAGTGGATGTTTTGTGGTTTAGAGAATTTTACTGAGAAACAAAGCAAACAAAAATTTTAAAAAGCACCTTCACAGATTATGTGGCAACAAAACTGGTAAATTGCCTTAGCAACCTAATCTGGCTGATAAGGTCTTTTGAAAATGTATGCCTTATTTGAACTGTTTGATGGAATATGAAACAAATCCACATGAACCCAAGGAACAATCTAGGCATAATGGCAGTGCTCTTCTTACCAGCTCCCAGTACCATGTTGGCTTGGGTCTCAGTGGGATCACAGCTTGAGGGCATTGTCCCAATTCCTCTTGAACACTCACAAACATGGAGCATCAGCTGCCTCTCTAGGAAGCCTGTTCCAATGTCTTACCACCCTCAGAGTAACATTTTTCCTAATATGCAGTTTGAAACTCCCCTGGTCCTCCTGGTAACTTCGTGTCATTCCCTAATGTTCTGTCACTGGATAGCCAGGAAACAAGACCAGGACTTCTGTCCTTTGGGCAACACATAGCTAAATGTGTGGACAAAAGATCAGTCATGACAGCAATGGCTAGGCTAGCTTCTCTCATATTGTTTCTAAAAAGTTAAAAGAACATCCGCTTTTTCCACTGAAAAAGGAGCATATGTCCATATACCAGGACATAGACCTGCAGTAATAGGGTCAGACATCAAAGAGTGAATTTCTGTAAATTTGTAAGTCTTAAAGCTTCAAATTCATGGTTAAATCCATTTCCTAAATGGGTGGAAATGGAAATTTTGAAAATCCAGTCCCCAAAAGGCAATAAATGAATCTGTTTCTGAACATCAGAGAGTGAATCCAGTTCAGTACTGTCCAACAACCAAATTTTAAATAACAAGAATATAGCTATAGGCATGTTGCAAATCAAGGTTTCTTCCTAACCAAAAAGTTTTCAATTTACTGCTTAGCTAAGTAAGGCAATGAAGCAACTACACTTTACACCTGAAGCTATTCCACTTACAATTTCTTGCAGTGCTCCTAGCATTAATCAGTTGCACGATTAAAATCATTAGGGAAAACAAATTAAACATTACTTTCAAAGGAGACTAAATGCGCAGTTTATACATTACATCTCTTGCTATGGCTTTACACCCAGATACAACTAAGGCTACATTTCAATGAAAATTGAAATCACTTGTAAAACTCATTCTTTTTAGGCTAGACTATTACCACTTTTAAAACTACTTTCATAGAAGTGACTCAAAATCATTAGTCTGCTTATCTCTGAGCAATGCAGGTCTGAGACTTCTTAGCCTAGAGAAGAGAACATGTGCAGGGGAATTTCATCAATGCATCTGAATACCTGAAGAGAGACACAGGATCTTTTCAATGCCCAGTGGCAGAACAAGAGGCAGTGTGCATAAACTGGAACATGAGAGGTTCTGTCTGACCATCATGATGCACTTCTGCGCTGTATACGTGATGGACCACCCACAGGTACTGTAAAGTGCTTTTGCTCACTCTTGACAGATAATAAATTTTCCCTTCCACTAGTTGGTGTCTAACTGATTCCTGGTGCATGAAGAATGATTGCTTTTAGTTCTAAGCAGTGTTGAGTCTTACAAAAGTTTAATATGATTTTAGGTTTACACTGGAATCTGATAAATATTTTCCATAAGTGAGTTTCTCAGGTTAATTGTCTCTTAAAAGATTAACAATGTTTCTCTTAAAAATGTTACTTTAAAATATCAGACTAGTTTTCAGCCTACTGAAATAAATATACTAGAATATGTCATGTTTTCACTATGTCTCCTTTTATTTTATTATTATTATTTTTTTTGTCTCCTAGCTTTAATTTTTAATGTCTGCTTCCAAAGAATACATATTCTGCCCACCAATACCATTTCAGAGCTGTTCGCATACGGTTCTATTATACTTATTCGGTTTTCAGTCGTTCTGCAATGACATAATGAAAACTGAAAATAATATCCAGAGCAGGAAATAGCTATCGATTGATATAAATGCAGTATACAGTTTTCCATATTGGTTCTTCCTACAGTTTTTGCTTTTTGAAGTCACTGCATACAGCGGAGTTGTCTTCATTTTCCAGTCAACAAGGATGCATAGATCTGTTTCACAGTGCTCCACTGTGTGATCTTTTTGCTCAGAGTGCATTGTGTTCATGAAGTGCTGTACTGATGTAACATTGTCATGTCATGGTTCAGATCTCTAGATTTCTATTATTAGAAATATTATTACTTGAAAATTTGTTGATTTATTATTATTATGCTTCTAGTCTGTCTCGCATTTCTTTGACTGAAGACCTACTATGTCTGATAAATTTGGTATGTTTAATACACTTACTTATATATAATATTTTTTAATATTTTTGATAATAGTTGTCAATTCTCAAAACTCTAGCAGCATAATTTTCTCCCTTATTTTTCGGTCAAATTCTGGTGGGTTTATTTATTTGTTTATTTATTTCATTATAGGTCAAGTTACAGAGATCTCTAACAGTAACAAAAAAGAACAGATTTTTCCTCAGCACATAGGTGATGCCAGTCATCTCTAATCTTCCTGAAACAAGAACAGATGAGAAATAAGCATATGAATCTGTTTATCTGACTTTTCTTGCTGAACACTTTGTTGGCATGCACAGACATTTGCTGGGAGAAAAAAAAAAAAAAAAAAAAGATAACCGAGAATTCATTCTTAAAGACTTCACAGTCCTATCAAGATGCGTGACCAGCTCAGCATATACTACAGGGGCTGCCAACACTGTATGAATTCTTAATATGGTAGATCAAGCAAGAACTATTTTGACCAAGACTGCTTGGCAGCTTTCATTACAATCTCTCTAGAAATATCCTTAAGTCTACTGCAGCTGATAATCGTTCTGAGTTTGCTTTTTTGTGTGTTGAAATTTCATTCTATCGATTTAGATCTAGCTGTTATTTTAGCCATTATCCTCTGATTTTTTTAGATATTCTAAGATACTTAGCATATTCCCTCCAAACACTGATGTGTCTTTAGAGAAAATGATTGAAATTACAGAGCTGTTTAAAGCAAACTGTGGAATATT